CAGCAAATGTTGCTCGACGACAAATCCCAAGAATACGTCACGATTAACACGCACAAGGGACTGTATCGGTATACACGCTTACCATTCAGTATCTCATCGAGTCCTGCAATCTGGCAGAGATTCATCGAACAAGTACTAGCAGGTCTGGACAGCACATAAGCAATCATGGATGATGTGCTTGTTACAGGCAAGACGGATGAGGAACATCTCCGCAACGTAAAGAACGTTTTCCAGCGATTCCGGAAATACGGTCTCAGGTTGAAGACCGAAAAGTGTCGGTTCATGCAGGAGAGCGTAATCTACATGGGACGTCGCATTTCTGCAAAAGGGATTCAGCCAACCGACGACAAGGTTGACGCGATACGCAACGCTCCAGTTCCACAGAATGTCACAGAGCTTCGCTCATGGTTGGGGATGGTCAACTTCCAAGCGCAGTTCCTTCCCAACCTGTCGACCATGGCCCATCCGTTAAACGAACTGCTCGGGGATTGTCCTTGGCAGTGGACGGATGAATGTACCAGGGCATTTGAGGCAGTGAAGGACGCCATCAGTTCAGACAAACTTCTCGCTCACTACGACCCAGCACTCCCTCTCGAGTTCGCAACGGACGCATCACCATATGGACTTGGAGCAGTCATGCTGCATGTGTATGCTGACGGCTCCAGACATCCTATAGCATATGCTTCACGCTCACTCAATAAACATGAGAAGGGCTACGCGCAACTGGACAAGGAGGCCCTGGCAATCATGTTCGGTCTCAAACGCTTCCGCACATATCTCTACGGAAGGAAATTTACCATACGGACTGATCAAAAGCCATTGGAGCGCATCCTTGGTCCAAGACGTCGATTCCAACCCTTGCAGCACAATCTTCAGCAATGGGCTGTAATGTTGTCCGCATTTGACTACAACTTGCAGTTCATTCCATCTTCGCAGAATGTGCTTGCGGATGCGCTCTTACATCTCCCATTACCCACAATGGAGGAGGACGATGAAGACGCTATCTACAACATCGAAGACAAACGCCTCGATAGCCTACCAGTAACCAGTAAGGAGATCTCACAGGCTACAAGAACTGATCCTGTGCTTTCGCGCGTGTTAGAGTTCACTAAAAGTGGATGGCCAGCAGAGGTAAGGGACGAACGCCTCAAACCTTTCTTCAATCGCAGACACGAACTATCCACGGAACAGGACTGTTTGTTGTGGGGATTAAGAGTTGTGATACACTACAAGTACGAGAAGTTCATTCTGGGTGAGTTACATGATGCGCATCCAGGAATTGTCAGGATGAAAGAAATTGCACGAAGCTACGTTTGGTGGCCTAACATCGATCGCGACATCGAACAGACTGTTCGTCTCTGTGCTAGCTGTCAACAGACTAGACACCTTCCAGCTGTGGCACCCCTAATGCCATGGGTGTGGCATAGCTCTTCATGGCACAGAATTCACATCGATTTCGCGCAGAAAAAATGGTCACGATTTCCTGATCGTCATTGACGCATACGCAAAATGGCCAGAGATCTTCCACATGAGTAGCACCACCGCGAATGCAACCATCACGGTGCTGCAAGACTTATTCAGCAGGTATGGCATCCCCTACCAACTTGTCAGTGACAATGGACTGCAATTCACAAGTGAGGAGTTCCAATGGTTCCTCAACGGTGAATGGCGTAAAACACGTAAGAGTTGCACCGTACCACGCCGCAAGTAATGGTGCAGCAGAACGAATGGTTCAATCCTTCAAACGCGCTCTCAGCTCAAGCAAATCGAGTGTTCGGAGTTTGCAACAACGTATCGACAGTTTCCTGTTGACATATCGCACTACGACACATGCAACAACCGGTCGTACTCCTGCGAGTTTGTTCCTAGGACGCGAACTGCGTACTCGTTTGTCCTTGCTACGCCCGGACGTTGAACGCAAGGTGGTCAACATGCAGAGCAACCAAAAGTTGCACCACGACAAACAGACCCAACTCCGCGAGTTCTATGCGGGGGAGGATGTGTTGGTTAAGGATTTCCGCTGCAAAGAGACTTGGTGGCTGGCCACAGTCGCAGAGCGCACAGCCCCAAAGTCTTATGTGGTAATTTTGCAGGATGGTCGAGTGTGGAAAAGACACGTGGATCAGATGAGAAGAGCAGAACGGTCTACATCCAGTCATTCTCAGAACTCAAGGAATGGGATGCACACCTCAGCTCACCAAGATACTGATATGTCTGACCTAGCATCCATTCCGGTGTTTATCCCTACCGCTGAGACAGCTCCAGTCGTTGGCTCGCAAATTCCTCAGACAGAACGTACACACGCGCCACCCTCAAACATCACAAGTGGTGAGCAGACTTCACAATCGGCGACACCGACCGTAACCGCAGATTCCAGTGCTTCACCCAAACCCCTACGTCGTTCGTCAAGGGTCAGCAAACCCCAGACAGACTCATTGAGACTATGGAATAACCTAACTGTTGTTCGCAGAGGCCGGCATGAGAGTTAAAATGTGCATGTACTGCACTTTGAGTTGTTACAGTTGTGTTAATGTTTATCTTGTTACTCAAGTTGTTTAAACAAGTTTTTAGAGTTGCAGTTTTGAAACAAACAAAAAAGGTTGCAGTTGAAATTGTACGGTATTGGAATGTCATGGGTGTAAAAAAACCCAAAAAACTAACAAACAAGCAAGCAAACAAGAAGGAAATCCTAAGGGAAGTTCCGTTTATTCAAATTAAGGGCAGGAAGAGAAAAAAGCCATTGCTACAATGTACCTTGTCTAGGGACTTGGATTTAATTATGGAAAAAAGGATTTTCTTTGTTTTGAACTTTGGTTTTCTTGCAACAAGTGTTTGTAGGATTAGCATTTTTTGTGTAAGGTGTGACATTGTTTTTATAGACAGAATTTTCAGTCGAGGACATTTTCATAGGGTTGAAAATGATATTTGTGTGTGTGTGTACAGCTTCCATATTAAGGGGGGAGAGGATGTAGTGTATGCAGACTGCAGTGATCTATTTATAGTAGTGCAACCAGTGTATGACGTCATTTGTTAATCGTCTGTACATTCTAGTACGTGTGTGCTGGAATTTACTACCTTAAGGAGACATGCACACAATAGGGAACAAAAGATTGTATACGTCTCCGCAAGAACATTCTATAGATGAATACGTCTCCACAATTTCACGAAATAGATATATGGATTTACTCAAAAACTAGTAATTTCCAAGGTGGGTTGATGTGTCGCAAATGGAAGAGTTTTAGAAAAGGGATATTTAGTCCAAATTTCAGCCCAGGAAATTAATTCTGGTTAAAATTAGAGCATTTTGAAACTTCAATTTCAAACTCGAAACTTTACTACACGAGAACAAAGAAATGTCTCCACAAGGATACAAATTCCAGAATGTGTGTACTCTAGTGTGTTATGGCATGACATGGAACGTGAATACAATACGAAGCAACCAGAAAAGTATCCCTAATCTCAGTCTCTCCTTAATCGGGTGTTATTGACGTACGAACACAACAATTATCATTCGTAACTACCAGCATCAACTAAAACCTCGTTGATTGTGGGCGGGCGTAAGATGGGTGGCGAAAACAAAGAACAGCGATTAGTGTGCAGTGTTTAATTAACAACGGACTTATCTCTCAGTTAGTTCAATTCACCGCCAGTTCAAGTGACCGCTACCCGAGATATCGTAGTGCGGTCCTTTAGATGTTGAAAACAGTCTTGATTCTCTGAAATGATGGTGTTGGATCGGGGAGAAATCTTGGCACACTTAGGCACACCACACAGAGATGAAGAGGAGTCATTGCTTGCTTCGCATAAAGTGTCACATGTCAGTTGAAGGACATTAATGTTGCTTCTTTTTAAGCGTTTCCGCGAATTCCTTGACCGTCTCGCGCAGTCGCTACACACATGGGCGAATAAACGCGTTGTGGCCCGCAGGAGAGTAATAAGTGTGCAACGGCCAATTTTTATTGTGACTTGTTTATCGCGGTATGGATGTTGCGAAGTCAATCCTTTGTTCATCACTTCAGGCTTAAGGTATACTGTACCAATAATGATACCGCGCCATTATTCGAAGGTTTTCATGTCTTGGCTGAAAGGAATCAATTTACTTATTAATAATTCATTATTGCATGAAGTTAGAAAATATCTCAGTTCCATGTGCCTGTGTGTACTTTATGGAGACTTCAATTATTTTATAATGATGACGTCATGCACGCAAAGTTAGAAACTATGACAAAACGCGTAGGGTTCTCATCTTAAGGTTCGTGGTTCGAGTTCTCTCCTGGTCCTCATTTTTTCCTTTTTTTTTGCACACTCTTCGATTGTTCCCCCTTATTATAACTGTGAGGCGGCCCTATTGTTTAATTGAGATTCGAATTTCACAGCAGAAAAGCTTTTTTCTTTTCTGAATCGAGGTTTGTGGTTCGATTCCTGTCCTGGTCTTCATTTTCCCCCTTTTTTCAACAGTTTTCGACTTTTCCCTTTAATTGTTATTATTAAAGTCGGATTTGAATTTGATAGCAGAAAAAAATCCAGAAATACAAGCGTGCAGTCACGTGCACGGCTTCTGCTCTTCTGTTCTACAAACTTTCAAGTTCATGGCCCACAATAATTGCTCTAATAGCAAAGTATATTTGAGGGTACACAATTGTGATTTGGCTCGCGTAGGCAATGATGGGCCACTTTAATTACAGGTCTGCACCCCTCGTAGTCTCGCACCACATAAATAGTGGTCTCGATCTCCACCACCAAACTCATTTTGGGGGACAACAACTCAAGAAAAACATGATGTATTAGCAGTATTACATTGAATTTTCATACACTTATTTGTCATAATGTTCAACATTACGAGATTTAATTTCATAAGAAACCGTCGAACAATGGAGCTATTATGAGCGCTACAAATACGATCCGAATGGTAGTCAACGTCGATTTTTCGCGTTTAAAACACTACATTGTTGCGATCATATTATATTTGTTGTTTCATGTTTTCACATGATATTCAATCTCCTTATGTAACACATCGTGGAAACTCAGTGCGCGAAATTTCAATGTAATACATAGTTGTATTTATTGAGTAGTTGATCGAAAACGAGTTTGTCATGATGCGCGTTGTACGTGGAGACTACTATTTATGTGGCGCGCTTTCTATTGAACGAAACCTAGACAGACACACGTGTGCAGCGGCTGCGAGTTTACTTTGCGCTCCCTTATTCTCGAAAGAACTGTCGGTTGTTGTTTGACGGTTTCTCACGAAAAGGAATTCTCCTTATGTTACACATCAAGACCGATCACTGGCCGAACTTACAGCAAAGACTGGCGTCTTTGCTGTAAGTTCTTTTGGAAAACCGTCGTAATTCGTCAGTCCTCTGAAGGTACGGAATTCAACGGTTTTTGCTATTCCTATGGAAACATGCATTGTCAGCCTGGTTATTCATATTGGTCAAGACCCCATTGGTTTGTACACAGTATGCCAGGAGGTGAGATACAAACATTTTGACCATTGGTGACCTCTTAAATAGTACGAGGGTTAAGCAAGCGATCACACTTCTGTAGCTCAGATAAGTGGGGTGATTTTTAAATGACAAAATAATTTTGTTCTGAATTGATTTTCGGCTTCCCTACAATTTGTAGCAATGGGACCATCCATTCCACCCCCAGGCCACATGTCATGCATGTAGTGCAGAGTTAGTCCAGTATTTCAGCTGCATTTATGGGGCTAACAATCTGACAAAAAGCACTTTTTTTCGGCACCATCCGTGATAGCCAGCCCCACAAATGTGGCCAATTTGCTGTACTACCTCCGTAAATATAGGCCACACTTGGAACATGTACCCGAACATAGAACTTTGTCAAGTTTTGATTTTCATATTTAGACTTTGTAGTTTATTTATGCTTTAGAACCCTCTTATACTAGCTATAGAAAAGAAGTTAGGCATTTTTCAGACGTCATTTCGATAATGCAAATGTGTGCAAAGTGCAAACAAACTAGAATTACACAATCAGTGACAATCAAAATGAGCATACATGTAACAATTATGACAATTAGCCGCCGATGTTGCCCGTTGCCATCATGAATATTATCAACCTTAAGCGTCATCATTCTTGGTATTTCCTAACCTTTATACTTTAGGTCAATTTTATAGACAATATCTTGCTCTTTCCAGCAATACCAAACACAACACTTGTAAATTATGTCGAAGAAAAAGTTTATACGAAGAAATAAAACTCTCCAAATTCAAGGTAGTTTGTTTGATTTTTTGCTTTAAAAATACAGAATTTTAATATGCAACCTTCATTAGCACCTTCTGGCACCATGCACTGGAAAATTTGGGGTTTTCTGATCCGACATACATGGTTCATATTTTTAGTGGCAAAACTGGTGTCGCAGTGTATCACAAAGGGGGTGATACATGTACGTGGGTGTACATGTAGCAATGTGGGCCGGCAGAAGTCAAAGGGCGTGGCCGGCCAGCGCTGCGCCAGTGCGGACCACATAATCTTAACACAATGATTCACTTAACTTTGTCAAACTGTTACGTATTGAACACACATATCGCACACCTATGTTTCCTTTGTCAATTCTCTGTCAATTGAGTACCAAATATGTTTCATTCTCTGCCTGCTAGAATAGTTAATTGACTTGAATCACACCCCCTTACATGCCTATTATTAGGGTTGTCTGATTTAAATCGCGTTGATTTAATTCACCGATTTAAATCCCAATTTTAATTCTTGTCGCAACATTGTTGTGTTATATTGTGACATATGTACCGGTATACTCACATGGTGATTTTATCAATTATTCCTTCTGTTTGTACTCACTCTAAAATGGATCTCCTTATTTGTATTTTTATTCAATTTAAAGCAAAGCACTCAGAGTGTGCAAACCTACATGTACCAACATGACCAAGGATAAACAATTCCCCGCCTTATTGTCAGTTCACCCGAAAGAAATACTCGCATTTATGGTGAAAAATCCTTTAAAAAAATCCTACATGCAGACCCAAAACAAATCCTTTAACTCAAACATTTTGTGTACATGTATGTATGCCTGTGTCGGTCTACCTTTCCACTCCCCCATTGTATAAAATGGTCTAGTCCATTGACCTGTGTGGTTAGATTAGGTGGGTGATAAGGGATACAGGGTCACCGGGTCAGTGCCACGCACAAGAAGAGGGTCACGCAGGGTGATCTGTTGAAAGTTTTCCATCTGATGGGTGAAAAAATCTGTAAAAAAAATCCTGCATCCAGATGAACATGTAGACTATCTGGATCACTTCCAAAATCCAATCGATTTGTACTTTACCAAAGACCACTCCCGCAAAAACTTTCATGAAAATCCGTCCATAACCAACAAACCAACCAAATCACAAACCAATTAACCCTTACCCTACTAGACCCTCCAACGCATGCCAATATGTGCCTCAAGAAAATCTCCTATGTTTTTTGCATGGCCCTCCAATATCTGCCATGTCATTTCAAGGGTAACTGGACAGGCACTCCAATACATGCCACAGAGAACAATGAGAGTCCTCTGATAACAAAGTGAGTGCCCCCAGCTGGTCAGTATCAGGCACCCTCCAGGGCCTCCAACTCCTGCCAATTGGAGCCTTCACTGTTAAGACAAACTATCTGCCAATAAACTGCAGCTGGAGGGCATTGGCATAACCAACTGACTTGCAGTAAACTACCCTCAGAGAGTAAGGGTTAACGCCGGTGCAAACATAGCCTCCTTGGCGGAGCTACGTAATAAGTTTTTGGATAAACGTTATGAAATTGAAAATGTTGCTCAAGAAAATGAAATTGACACTTTATTAATTGAATAGATGTTAATTTTTCTTTTTAGGTTTCAAAGCCAGTTCCCTGGCCGCAGCCTGGGCCTGCATGAGGAGTTCAGCCTGGTGGAGGTGCTGAAGGCCGTCATGATGCAGCGTGGACTTGGGCCGTAAGATGAGCGAGTTGGAGAAAAAGCTGAAGTGCCTGCAGATGCAGCGCAAACTTGTACAAGTAGAGCAAGGTGGCAAAAACGAAGACGAAAATCCACAAACTGAGCACCATCAAACCATCGGTAAGCCTGTTATACCCAAAATATGGCAGTGGTCCCAACTGTAGTCCAAAATATGGCAGAGGTTCCAACTATAGCCCAAAATATGGCAGTGGTCCCAACTGTAGCCCAAAATATGGCAGTGGTCCCAACTATAGCCCAAAATATGGCAGTGGTCCCAACTATACATGTAGCCCAAAATATGGCAGTGGTCCCAACTATAGCCCAAATAATGGCAGTGGTCCCAACTATAGCCCAAATATGCAGTGGGTCCCAACTATAGCCCAAATTATGGCAGTGGTCCCAACTATAGCCCAAAATATGGCAGTGGTCCCAACTATAGCCCAAATATGGCAGTGGTCCCAATTGTAGCCAAAATATGGCAGTGGTCCCAACTGTAGCCCAGATTATGGTAGTGGTCCCAACTGTAGCCCAAATTATGGCAGTGGTCCCAACTATAGCCAAAATATGGCAGTGGTCCCAACTGTAGCCCAAAATATGGCAGTGGTTCCAACAGTAGCCCAGATTATAGCAGTGGTCCCAACTGTAGCCCAATTTATGGCAGTGGTCCCAACTACAAATTATGGCAGTGGTCCCAACTATAGCCCAAAATATGGCAGTGGTCCAAAGTATAGCCCAAAATATGGCAGTCGTCCCAACTATAGCCCAAATATGGCAGTGGTCCCAACAATACAATGTAGTTGGGGTGATGTCATACTTGGGGCATTTCACCTCTAAACCCTTCAATAAGAACATATTTCATGTTGCTGTGAAGCACACAACTTTGCTGAACAATGAATCAGAGTTGTAATGACTCAAGTCAATGATTTACAATGTAATTGACTCGACTCAGGTCCCAATGGGTAATTGACTCGACTGGACTCGAGTCTCTCATCAGTAGACTCGACTTTACTTGAGTCGAAGGTTAATAAAACTTGAGTCCTAACACTGTGCGAACATTACAAAGTTTTATATTCACATTACCGTCGAGTTGTTGCCGTTTATCGCGTACAAATACATGTATACGCCTCAGGCCAAAAAAAAAAGTTCTGCTTTCAACCGGAAGCAGATTTTTTTTTTGTAGGGAAACCCCCTATCTACCCTATTCTGACAGCCCCTACCCTAATCTTGTTATGGGAAAAATGACAAAAAAACACCAAAAACCATCAATCTCTGCCTTTAACCCATGACTACACGCAGACTCCTCCATATGATCGTACCAAAAAATATTGGCCAAAAAAAAGTCCCTACCCACATGTACCTACCCTATTTTCGAATGACATGTAATTGGAAGCAGAATTACTTTTTTTCTTTTGGCCTTATCACGGACTCCCAACTCGTGTACTATATGTAGCGCACAAATTACTATCCCGAAACCAGAGTTTTCCCAATTCTTGGTTTCATCTTCGGCTTCGGGCGATTTCCTAAGCCCTTGATGAAACTCCAACTAAATTTATGTTTTCAAATTTTGTTTGATATTTTCTATATAATCAGAAACAGTTTCAAATGTTGCAATTTGTCAGCGTAAAAAATATTTCAGACCTGAATCCAAACCAGAGATGAAACCGGAGTTCACTTCATGTTAATTGGTACGCAGATCTTTGGTAGAAACGTCTAGCAGAAACTGTCTATTGGGTACCATGCAGCGTTTTTTAAGTCTTTGGATTTCATTACAAACTTGTGCCTTGTGTTCTTTCTTCCATTCTGTAATTTATTAGATGTTGTTCAAATATCACTGACTTAAGCCGGCCTCAGGTCGACCTGCGATTTGCTTGCGCCATGACGGAACCGTCGGCATCAAGCAGAAAAATAATACTCAGATCACAAAACTGAGAAATCGTGTGATTCTCTTGCACAAGCGGCATCCCGATTAAATAATCGCAATTATTAACTGACATATATCCTAGTCATTTGATTGGTGGAACTCACATATATGTGACATTCGTTATTGCTCCATTCACGCCGCCGGTCTCAAAAAGTACTATCCGCCCATGGGGAGTGGGAAATACTATTCAACAGTTAGGATCATGAGGCGGTATTTGTGTGCAAATGCATGCTGGTGTGCGCGTTCAGCGTTGCGCGTAGCGCGTATTGTTCCAAAGAGCCAGCGCTACAGCGTTGGGTTCAATCATTTTCGTGAAGGGGTATTTGGAAGAGAGAAATACATTTTCCCTCAGTTTCTATTGCAAAAAAGTTCAAATATATCAAATGACAAGGATCTATATGTCAGTTATATAAAACAAATATTGAGTGGCTTTAAATTGTGAAATGGGAGGAATATTATCGCTCAGTAACATCTGGACTTTTCCAGTTCACTCGGCTTCGCCTCGTGAAATGGAAAAGTCCAGATTTTACCTTGCGATAATATTCCTCCCATTCCACGCTGAGCCACTCAATATTTGTATACCATGCTCAAAATTGCTCATGTCACCTTGACGCGACGATCCACCACGATTCCACAGCATAGACAGTCATAGACAGACTTTACCAATAAGGGAGTAATGTGTTTGGCTGGCTCGGCTCGAGCCATTACCAGCGCGCATTCCCCTGATACGGTCTTAAATGTACTTGTGGTATTCCATTCACAAATAGCTTTGAGTCAAAAAATCGGCACAAGTCAAACAATTATATATTTCCGATGATTTTGTTGAACAGTTTTATTTAATTTTTTTCTAAACACCCCTCTAGCTATGGTATGGAATATCCTCTCGTGAGTAGGTAAACAATTGCCTTATATGGTGATTGACGCACGTGTGCTGCGTACTACGTGATGTTGCGCAGAACGTGCGGAGTGCCAGAGTAGTGTGCTAATTGGCTAATTGGAAAGGATGATCTTGATGCGCACACGATCGCAACGTCATCATAGAAGTTGAAATTTTTCTTCTCTTGCTACTGTTGATTTTTTTTTAGACCCGACTAATTCCTATCGTGTTAATATCGTCGCAGTTACACTCAGGTCGCAAAAATTGGTGACTGAAATCTTCCCGCCGGTGGTAGCTCAGGCACAGCTTGATCCTGAAAAGTCGGTCGTCAACTGATCTTTGTCAGTCGCAAGGTCGACCTGAGGCCGGCTTTAAATTGACTAGAGCACAGATTCTACTTGACTCGATTCGACCACACACTGTTACTCCACTCGACTGGATTTGACTCAAGTCACTTCCTTAAAATGACTCGACTCGACTCAAGTCACAACATTCAGTGTCTCGTTACAACGCTGCAAAGAATAGAATTTGTTCATTGTTTAGCAGATGCCGGTTACCAGCTTCATTCCCATGTGATTTATCTTGCTTGGAACTAGTTCTCTTGCACAATTGTTGTCTTGGTAATTTTTCCCATAGATGATGATTTTTCTGCCATGTTCACAGGAATTGTGAGGATCTGACCAGCCCCGAGGTGGACCGTGTCATCGTCCAGCGACTGAGGGTTGATGAAGTCATTGACGTCCTTTACGGCAAGCTGATGACCTGTTGATCATCAAGGGAATGCGAGACAGTAAGTGATTCCATTTGTGTAGCAGTTCAAGAACGCATAACCAACAAATTTAACAAGCTGTATCTCTGTTAAATTTACAAACTTCAAATGGGCATAATATCACCTACATTGTAGGAAAGTCCGTTTAGAAAATAAAAAGGTCATTGTAAAAAAAGGGAAGATCTTTATTTTAAAGGCATATAGGATCATTTGATATTCATGACTTTGTTCGTTTTCAAATAATAAGACCATTCAAAATCAAAAGAAGAATGTTGAATGCCTAACCTATTGAAGTTTCAGCTCAGTGATACCATTTCCCCCCTAGAAAACAGTAAAAAAAAAAAAAAAAAAAAGTGCTCAACCTTTTGATCATGAAACATAATTTGTGTGTTTGTAACTCTTTCTTCAAAAATGAGTCGATTGACTGATCGTTGGAAATCCCCTACATTACTCGGTTTTCTAAATGACAGCAAGACAGACGGAATTATTTTGTGGGGTGTAAAAGTTAATACCGCGGTATGCAACATTTGCAACAATCAAAAAACAAAATTACTAAATTATTATGAAATTTCAGTGATAATAGTCTCAAGTGTCCTATGAAATCATGGCACCTAGTGTGCTGTCATTTTCCAGAAAAGTGGAATTTTTGTATCAATTGTCCAATGATTGTTGGCCGACCATCATTGAAAAACCTGACTGTTTTCAATACTGCCCCCAATTTGCCAATTATAGTTAGTACCATTTTGTTTGCAATCGGTTACACATCTGTGAGTGCGAGCAATTAAGCCAGCTAGTCTGGTTCCCTGACCCTATCGGTACAATTCCCTGACGCCTATAAATTGCTCTGTTTTGTCTGAAGTAGGGTGAGGAAACCATACTACACAAGACAGCATTTTTTTTCTGGTTTTCCCAGCATCTATGAACACAAAAACTTTAAATAGGTCAGTGTTTAAATACTTGCTTTAAAAATACTTACTCCCCAATCCTCTATATATGAAAATTACAGCAAAGAAAATTTTGTACGGTATAACGTACATGTTTGTACCGGTATGTCACGTTTAAAAACCAGTCTGATCTGATTAAATGCAAATGATCCTATACGCCTTTAACATTATTTTTAAAACCTGTTAAAATAGCTTTTCAGAAGAGTCGTATTTGATTCAGTAAAAGACGATTTGATTGTACTCAATTTCATTGGCTTGTTGTGCCCATGTTTAGGTAATGTTTTGCTCCAGATCGATTCACTTGAAATCATTTATGTCTTTATGAATGGGTTAAACTGCTTTATTAGAAATCCAAATGCAGAGTTCCAAGCCACCTGACACCGAGTGTTCCTTCTTGGTTCTCCCCAGCTTTTCTCTCATGAGTCCGTCGCAAGCCTCTCCCCAGCAGGGCGCACTAAATCCTCCAACGTCTCCTGAGTCGTTTCGTCCAAGACACCAACTAGACACCAAAACGGCCCCGCTGATGGCGATCCATGATGTCCAATGCATCAATGATGACTCCAGTGCTTACTTACGCTTCTTCGGCGGCTACTCTTTGTTCTAGGCATGGGAGAGCTCGGGAAGGGGGCGGAGTTTGAGGCTCTGGAAGGGAGGGAGATCTTGAACAGTCTGCTGTGTGTATCGACGTCAAGCTTGATGGGCTGGAGTCTAGCAAACATGGAACCATGCTGTGCCAGTTGCTGGAAAGGGCAAACATGCCCAGAGAACTCAACAAGTAAGTTTTACTCACATCTTGTGTTTATTTGGCAATTTATATCCACATAGTTCCGACTGGCGAACAAGAGTCAAGCCATCCCAAAAATCAGTAAGCCCAACTAGATTTTCATTTCACTAAGGTGAAATTACCATTGAACAGATAATTACCAATCACTGACCATGTTTGTCCAAACAAATTTTACACTAAAAGTGTAAGATGGCGGCTCAAAACTGAGTTTTTATCCAACAGTCGTGAATTTTATCCTCATGTCTCAGACAGGCAAACCTGCTGTAGATTTGCAGCAGTTTTGCATTAGGTTCAGCTCATGAGTAGTTCTGAGTATCACCCGTTCTAGCCTAACTCCTTCAAACCTAGGAATGCAAATGTGTGCTGTGCCATGAGCTAGTCAATCAGAGTCAACGTTAAATCAGGACGTTATTTCATTCCGAAATCTTGACAACATGTACAAGTGTGATTGGTTGATTCCGATGCAGTGTTTTATACTAAAACAACGGCCGGGCCTAGATCTATAGAATCTAGACAAGCTTGGGGTGTATCGCGTACATAACACAGGGTGCCTGACCACAGCCTTGTGTGTGCTCAATTCACAGCGTATCCCATGTTGTGTCTGGAGGTTTTTTTTAATATGGTATATGATGCGACAATTGGTGAATGACCGAAGGCCTGATATAGAAAGTGCCCTCTGATTGGTCCAAATCTAGAGGTGTTGCATAATTAATCAGCGAATCTGCTCAAATATTATATACTAGCTCATGAGTGGATTTACGTCTAAAATCAAGATGTGCCATGGTCTTTCAAATGCCACTTAGAAGTTGAGTCGCTGTTCCAAATTGTTTTAAAAGTGTAGCCAGGTTTTTGTACTATGCCAAAACAAAACGAGCACAAATGGCCATTTGATTTATGTTTTAAAGTATTGAAGGTCAATGTCAAAAGAAGAGCAAATCATTCTAACTTGAAATTTCGGATGGGACACATGGTTGAGTCAAAGTCAAAATCGCCTGGTGCAGAAATAACTTCTGTAATTAGGCCACAGTTGGGAACACATTGGAACACACAGTGCTCCAAAAGAAGCTTATGGAATTGGAACATTTCAACTTTTAAGATGTGCCCTAACTTGAACCAAAGATAACTATTCAATACTACAGGAGCAGAAAAATAAAGAACTAAGCTTTCAGTCCCAAGCATTTGAAGTATCACATGGAAACAAATTTGTGGCAAGTTTTGTAAAATCACAGTTACCAGAGATACAGAGAAAATGTTGTTTTAAATGAAACTTTTGTTACTTTTTTCCATTCAGATTGATGAGAATGAGGTTGATCACATTGTCAACAAGGAGTGTGAAAAACTGGACAAGAGACTTGGAGAGGGGGCCAAGGTGAGCTTGCCGACACCCAAGATTTGCAGAGGGCAGAACTGGACTTGGCTGTTTTGGGCAGAGATGTAACCAGATCAGTCACGTTGAATAGATTTGAGACTGAATGACTCTTAGTTAACTTGTGATGACTTGTGACTGATTTTGTAAACAGTTTGGCTTAAGGCTCGACTAGGTAGTCTTGTATTTTCCAGTTAAACATTTATTTGCGGTAATTTTTCTTGGTCATATGCGAGACCCTGTCGATGCAAACTTGCAATTTACACATTCATTTTGAAACAATACACCCAAGAAGTCTGACATCATGCAAGTCGTCTAAGTGGTAAGTCTAAACAATGTCTTGTTCGCCACTTTTACCTTCGGATTTGCACAGGCATAAGTTGAACGTGTTTTGATAAAAAGTAAATGGTAAGCCCTTATCGTATTGAATTTGTGATAAAAACTTAACTTTCCCCATTTTTTTAAAAATGCAAGGCTAACCCTTACCGTATTGAAATTTTGATGAAAATTTATGTTCGTGCTATTTTTTGATAAAACTACCGAACAAACTAAGTTTGTTTTTGGCCCCTTTTTGATAAAAATGCGAGGCTAATCCTTTTACAGTTTTGAATATCTGATGAAAAGTTAACTTTTGACCAGTTTATGATAAAATTCAAGGCTAACCACGAACCGGTTCGAATATGTGATAATATTCTTTTTGTCCCTTTTTGATAAAAATGAAAGGCTAATCAACCCACACCCTTTGAATTTGTGATAAAAACTTTTTTGCCTGTTTTTGAAAAAAAAATGCAAGGCTAACCCCTTACCGTTTTGATTTTGTGATAAAACGTAACTTTCCCCCATTTTGATAAAAATGCAAGCTAAACCCTTGCGTTTTGATTTGTGATAAAACTTAACTTTCTCCCATTTTGATAAAATGCAAGGCTAACCCCTTACCAGTTTGAATTTGTGATAAAAACTTAATTTTCCCCCATTTTGATAAAAATGCAAGGCTAACCCCTTCATTAGCCCTTACCGTTATGAATTTGTGATAAAAAGTTAACTTTCCCC